CATTTTTTTGCCAATAAAATAGAACTTTGCATCAAATATAGTTTAATAGCATTCTTTGATGCAAGTCTAGTCTTGGAGGCATTCTCATTTTTACAAAGCTGAATTATGTCATTTTTTATATTCCCATATCATTTAAAAGATGATTGTGAGGGAACAAAAATATGCTTTGTGGAACATGAGTAAAATTGATTTTTAAAAATGAGGAAAGCTATGACTAAAAATAGACTTAGGAGGACTTATGAAATTTCTGTAGAGAAAATTGTGGTAGATAAGTCATAATATTGAACTTTGGATATGACTGTATCTCTTTCTTTTAATGAAAATATACTAGTATAGGGTGCAGGGTATAATCTTTGCTGATTTGTTATTGCATTAAATAAATGTTTACTGAGCACTAACTGTGCTTAGCCCTGAACCATCCATCGTTCTAGCATTTGCAATTGTCTTTGGCAGTGGAGGCAGAGAAAGAAAATTGTTTGAAGTCTCTAAATATAAATGTTATTCATTTATGATACTTTCCAAAGAGATAAGAAAATCACATCTATATACCTCTACCTCCTTAGAGAACTTACACACACACACACACACACACACACACACACACACGAAGTCATCTAAGCAAGAGGATGGATATTGTTTATGATAGGGAATAGCACGTGACATTTAAAACCCAGGAAATAAAGCTTAAAACTTGATAAGAAAAAGAAACAGTATTGGCCCCGGTGCTTTGCCATGAAGAAGCAACAGAGATTTAGTTAGCCGCAACATATGGTAGAAGAAGCTAAATGGCATCCCTTGAACTTATTTCTTTTCTGACCTTTTGAAGTTGCCAGGTTCAACTAATTTTCTCTTCATGGTTACATCTAAAGCAGGTTCCAGAGAGAGGAACCAACAGTTCAGCAGAAATAGATTAGCATCGCAACTTTCTGTAAGAATGAAATGAGAAAGCACTAATAGCCCTTTGGTTAATTAAGCCCTGCTAAATCGGATGATGGCCTTTTTCCATCAAAAAAATTGTTCTGTTTCATAAATAAAAATGTATTGGATGCTGGAGGGAAATTCTGAGCACCACAGATAACATTTTTGGGGAGACTGATCAATATACAAATCAGAGTAGCCAGAAAGGCAAATCAAAGAATCTAAGGCAGATGAAGTGGCAAAGGGAACATGATAAAAATCTCAGACTTGAGCCAGTAAATAAGTTAGTTATCTGGGCACATTTTCAAGAGGCAAGCTGTATATATGTGTGTGTGTTATTTGCGTGCATGTGTGTGTGTGTGTGTGTACGTAATACAGAGCAACAAGAATTATCATTGGTTTATCTACCTCCGCTCCCACCCTGAGAGGTGTATAACACACCAAAGTTAGGACATTTTTTTTCTGAATTAAAAAGCTAAGTTAGACCATTTCCTCTGTGAATGCCAATAGTGCTGAAAACAAAAAGAAAACTGTTTTTCTCCACCAGCTGCACTGAATAACTTTGTAACAAATATAAAATGACTGAAATCAGTATCAGCACACCACTGAGCAGAATATTTTCAAAAAGAAGTCTTCAGACCTTAAATTGCACCTATAATAGAAAGGCTTCTCCGATTATGCTTGTCCCTTGATTTGCCAGACACGAAAGTTTGCTAATGGACCAGAAAAGTGTGGTTGGAAATACAAATTGAATGTCACCTTACCCATTGAAAGCCTTTGGTTTTGCATGGAAAATCTGCTCAAATTGGAATGTTGATAAAGCTGTGAGGTGTGCCACCTTGAGTAGAAAAATAACAAAGATTGTCATTTTTTTCTTTAAAGCATTAATTTACCCACATCGATAAGGTTTTCTGAACAGCTGTTGAAGTGTGGATTTCAACTTTTTAATATGTGCATGTTCTTTTTCCCCACCAATAAACAATGAAAGGAACCTGGAAAGCAAAGCCCAGAGGTACAATTTCTTGAATAGAATCAGTACATTCTCATTCTTTGGAGTTTCTTTGCTTTGTTCCAACAATCTGTTCCTCCTGACTAACAAGCAGTATCAGACCTTTGAGTACATTCACATCAATCTTTACAAATGCCTTCTCAAGTGGTCTCCTCCATCCGGCTGAGCATGTTTCATGGGCTGTTTGTTTGTTTTGTTTTACATTGATCACGCTGCCATTGGCTACTTAAATTGTGTTCAGTGCTAATTGAGGGGTTGCTAAAAATGAATACTGTGCTGACCACAGTTCTACATAATACCCAAATAAAGTTGTTTTCCAGGGTAAGGAATTCCTTCCCTTCAGAGTTGATATGTGTACAGCAGGCAAATGGAACTGTTATTCTAGTGAGGGCTGCTATCAAATTTTCTATTCTTTTAGCTAAATTCATGAAGCTTCAAGAACTCAAGAAATGCATCCTACACACCAGAAGTGCAGCCAAGAAATGTTACAGAGTCTTGAATGTAGAGATTTACCCATCTTGAATGTTTTAAGAGACTGTAAATTGTAAAGCAGAAGCACTGATTTCTAATAGTAATAATAATTAGCAATGTAAGATCCAATTTGCAGGGCAAGTAGATTAAAAAGTTCGAATGACAGCATTACAGCACAAATTTCAGAGCACATTATCCAGTGCCTCTAAAACATTTGGCCTGTTTGTGATGGTCAGGGGATAACTTGACATTCACTAGGGGAGTGTGGGGATCAGAATGAGGAAGGTGAACTGCCACTGAAGGTCTCTGAATGAAGCAGTCCCCAGAGTGGCTGGGAAGACTCCCCTCTCTATTTTCAGAGGGATTTTCCTCAACTCCTTGCCTTCTTCAGAGTCCAGGGGGAAAAAAAAAAAAAAAGGTGATTTAAAATACTGCGACTGCTCCAGCATGAAATGACTATGTGACAGCGAGCTTCAAATCTGCTAAAGCAGAATTACAGAATACTATTATCAGAATCATTATTTAATAAGGGGGATAGCTCTAGAATGTATTCCAGCCACAGAGCTCGGGGAAGTGGAAAAACATGTCCGGACATGATGATTATGGAGAATTCCCTTTAAGGGAAAAAGAATGTAACCCTAAGAGAACATCCTTCAAAGGTATCACTTCTCTCCGTAGAAGAATCCCACTCCCAGCCCCCACCTCATCTTTCTCTGTCTCTCAAACACACACACACACACACACACACACGCACGAAGAAATCCCTGCAACACTGGACACAGCTGATGCAAAGCAGTATCTAGGCAGGGATTTTAGTGGTATTTAGCATGAACGACAGGGCTCACTTTGCACGCAGTGAGGTGCAGCAGCGAGGCTGAATGGATGGAAAATCCCACTTTCGAATCTTACATAAACATCTTTCCCACATAGAGTTTTCCAGTTGAAAAGCTCCTATAATGAAGCCGGAGGTGACAGCCCAAGAAGGGTTTTTAACCATTGAGATGGCTGTCAGGAGTGTTGTAAAGAGGACAGGCGCTTCAAAAGCCAACGCTCATCCCTCGGATCTGCTTTGCAATGGTGCCGGATGCGAGAGGCCAGTACTCTCGCTTACCTTCCCTAGCGTCCCCTCGTTCCCATTGTCAGCGCCCGAATACCATGACGCCGGGTGAAAGAAAGCAGCTGATCTGATTAGCAGCTCGGGCGCGCTAAGGGATTGTCGAATCATGCCTCCTAAGGAGGAAACTCTTGTGGAATCTTCAGGAAAGGGTGGTAAAGTTGAAAGGACCTTTCCTCCCTCCCGCTGTCTTGGTGATAAGCTCTATCGTTTGATTGGTGCTGAAGTGAGCAGCTGCCAGCCTGATTTTCCATTATGGACTAATGTTGTGCGTTTGCAACAATAAACAATTAATGTTGTTTGATTTCTTACATTTAGCAACCCAAGCAAACAGCTGCCCTCTCCGCTGGTGGAGGCAAACGGCTAGTCCTTGACATGCCGCCGGCTCCGTGCCTGCGGAGGAAGGGTCAACCGCAAGGAAACTTTGAGGATTCTGCCAGATTGGGTGGGGGAAGGCTCTGGTGTTTGGAAGGAATAAGCGGAGGAAATTGTGGATACCTGTTGGCATCAGCGTTGGCGGCAGCACGTTTTTACCGTTTCCCAGCCTTGGCTGGAGCCTGGGAGAACGGGAGTAGGTTCCTTATGAACCTGTTACGTACTGGCAGAACCCAGGCAAGAGCCTTTTTCCCTCCGGTCCTGCGAGGGGCGCGACCAGCCCCCCAAAGGTTCTCGGATGAGAAGCGGCCAGATCACAGAAAGCGCAGCTCTGGGCTCAGCGGTCCCTAGGAGAGGGACTACGGAGTCCCCGGCTTAAAGGGGCCTCCGTGCGCGCAATCTCGAGCTCCGGGGAGACACTGCCTAGGGGTCCTGCAGGGGTGATGGGCAGCGTCTTGGCGAGGGCAGAGCCGCGGGGCGACTCCGGAGCCCGGCAAGTTTGCAGCGGGCACCGCGCCTCCCAGAGCTGGAGCTGCCACTTGTGGGAAAGCCTCGCGCTGGGGCTTTCGCAGCTGAGCCTTGGCCCTCAGCCTTGCCGCGGGGGTCGCCCTCCCTCGCCTCGGAGATGAGGCGGTGCAGAAAACCAGCCATAGGGCACTCGGGCCCCCTCACCTCCTTTTTTCCCTGGCTTGCACCCTCCGCACAGCGGGCGGCTGGTGCTTCTCATTCACCGCACGCACCCCGCAGTGAAGGCGCGCGGCTGCAGCCGCGCCTGCCTGCGTTGGGAGGCTGCGAAATAGTCAAGTACCCGCAGGGAAGGAAAGCGGCAGGAAAACTGGAGGGGCACAGCCTGGAGCTTGCTACTCTCTAGGATCTGTTGTCAAAGCAGTTTGCAAAAACAGGCCAAACCCTGAGGCGAACGTACGTATCACCCATGGATATCGCGAAAGACACAGCTTAGCCCCGAGCCTATGCTAGGAACCCAAATCCACCATCTGAGAGGCAGGAGGAGCGCAAGGTGTCCGAAGGGGCACGAGAATTCCTATAAGAAACGGTCCCTTCTGGATCGTCGGGACATAGAGAAAAACGGGGCTGGGTTAGGGGAACACTTACTCGTGTGGGGCCCTGCGCTGGCTAATGTCAAGCCTCCTGGTTCACAAATGGCTGGAGGGGCTCGGGGTCAGCTCCCGAGGGCGGCGAGCGCCGACTGGTCCTCGCGCGCTAGGAAGGCGCCTCCGGATTCCGTTCATGCCTCTCGGAGCTGCAGGGCTTTGGTGCGGAGACGCGGGGTGGGCGCGCAGGGCTCTGGGTGTCCGCAGCCCAAAGTGAAGCTGGTGGCTTGACGCTACCGTCTATGCACAAACCGGCAGCGGCGGCGGCAGAGCTTGGAAGAGGCAGGGAGATTCCAAATAAATCCGCTAATTCTGGGCTGAGCGCTCCGGCGTGCGAGCCCGCCTGCCTGCCAAATGTAACTGTGAAGTGATGTGGAAAAGTGAGCCGGGTGCCTCCCCTGACGGATCTCATTGGGCAGAGCGCAGAGGCAGGTCTACCACTTGGAAATTCATGTAAGCAGTCCCCCCTCCCCGCCCCCTCCCCGCCTTCCCCCTTCGCTCTCGCGCGCTGGCTCGATCGCTCTCTTTCCCCCTACCCAAGTGGGCGCACAACTTTTCTCTCCTCGCTCCCGAGCACGCCCCGCGCGTCTCTGCCGCCAGAGCCACGGGGTGAAGATGCGCCCTTCCGCGCGGTGCGGGCAGCCTGCCGAGGGCCGAGCTCCTGGATAAGGGGGCTGGCAGATGATAACAGCATGCGGAGGAGGTACCCGCGAGCTTTCTCTCTAGAGGTCTCACCTGAGCTCTGGGGCTGGCGTTATCTTGTAAAGCGTCTCAGTGACTCTCAGCTGTTTTCGGTAGAAGGAAGAGGACGCGACAGGGCAAAGGGTTGAGCGTGGGCAGCTTACCTCTGCTTTATTCCAAGGGCCTCTTGCGTACAGAATAGGGTGATTGTGAGACCCCTACCTGCAACTCAGATGCTATGGTTTAGAGGCTGTGTGTCGCGGTCCTGTGATGGAGCACATTCCTGATGTCCTCGCGCTCCTTTGGGAAAATGGGATGAGGGACAGTAGAGGGGCAGCAAGGAGGGGCGCGTAGTAATTGGTTGTGGGGAGGAGGGCAGGCAAAGCAGAACTTGCTTGGGAAATAGGGGAGGATTGCTAGGTCTTCTCAATGTGCCCTGATCTCACATCCTCTCAGGTACCATCCTTGCAGCTCTCCTGCCTCCACCAAAATCTGCCCTGTCTGTGGCCACTTCAAGTCTTCTGATGGGCTGCGCTCAAATCCTGAGAAATGGCCACCCTGGGGTTACAGGGATCATAAATCAGGAGGTCCAGATTTCTTTTCTTTTCAACACTGGGACTAACATGTAGACGATGCCACTGTGATCATCTTCTAATAAAATTAGCTAAATATAAGACAAATTAATTCTTACCTGAAAAAAAAAAAATCCCTCCCCTCCACAGGAGATCCCGATTTAGTCCCTTCCCTGAGTGCACTAGACGTGAGCCTGTGGGTGGATTTTACCATCTGGGGACAGAGCCAGAACAGAAGGGGGAAAGGTGTGCAAGGGACGAGACGCACGGTCTGTAGAGCTTGTACTGTCTGACTCGAATGAATGAGAAAGAGTGAACAGAATGAGAAAATAGGCACAATATGCTTATGATATTTATGCAAATTTGACATTTTTTTGTGTGCTGCATCTAACAACCCACTGTGAAATGTGAAAAAGAATATTGACTGTAGCTCTAATATCGGTTTGTTTCACTTTGGAGCTGTCATGGGCAAGAAACTTAGTGGATTATTTCAGAGAGGGAGAGGTGAAGAGAACCAGGTGGTATTTTTCTCCCCCCAGGCAGTCACTAAGTAACTGTTTGTTCTCTTCTCAGACTGTGTCTGCTTACAGGGTATTGGAATTGGCTAATTCTGTCTTGGAAAAAGGAGCAGCAGTCAAGGCTCAATCAAATTATAACTGCTGCTAGACCAGACAGTCCCAAGTGGACAAAGAAATAGATCACATTTTGGGTTGTGCTTAATTTCAGACATTCATTTTCACTTTGACCAAATAATTTGAACCTTTCCTTGGGGTAGTAACTTCTTACACCTATGAGAACTAAAATAAAAGTCATATGCTACTGAAAGCTGGGGATTGTCACAAGTAACAAACTCATCTCAAAAAAAAAAAAAAAGGCCAGATTGTTAGACAATATCCTCAAATCTCATTTTCTTAACAAACTATGCTGACAAAGTAAAGATAGTCAGAATCCAATGGTTTTTAAAGAGAGCCAGAATCCAATGGCTCTGGGTATCTAGGGTTAAGAAGAGTTTGCTTTAACTCATCTTGTCCGTATTTACTCTTACAGCAGTTATATACATTATCTTCCCTGAATTTTGGTCCTCTGGAATTCAGGGTAACCCTATCTGTACCTGCTAATATCTGCTGAAAGCCTTGCAGTAGGAATTTCCTGACTAATTCTTAAGAGAGGTTTGGATGATTAAGCAGTGTGATAGAGGATTCAGATAATGTTAAAGAGCCCTATAAGGATATTTCTAAAATAATCAGGGATGCTGAAAGACAAGGCATTTATCTCTTTAACAATTCCACCTACTCTTAATAAGATGCAGTGCAATGTCACAATGGTGAGAGTCTACGCCCTTAAGAAAGTGTTTTCTTTTCAACATCCTCTCCAGGGTTACAGCCTTCCAGCGGGAAGAGGAACACAGTGGTACACAGGCTTTTTAGAATGGCGACTGAAATTGCGTGTGTTGTGGAGCATTGCAGGGGAGGAAGGGTGAGGAATGATCTGATAGGGCAGGAGTATAATTGGAGAAGGAGTTGGGAGGAGGGAGAGAAGATTGCATTCAGAATAACCTTGGCTGACTAATGCAAAAAGTAGAATGAGGCAGGATGTCTCTAGCCTGGGTCTCGGTGACAGGCAGGGGAGTCTACTGTAGAGAGTGAATGAGATACAGAGGGACTCCATGTAGTGAAAGATACTTTTATTTTTTCACTATGACTGGAATCTTTGTCGTAATTTTGACCAAGGGAGACAGTAAACCAACTGGCCAGTTAGTTGCAGAGTGGGGAATCAGATGGTTCATAGGAAACAGAGCTCAAGAAGAAGGAGAGAGTGTTAGGAAGCGTCCAGCTTCTCTGGTTGGAGCAGGAAATGACAGAATGGAACATAACTATTATTTGCTGCATTAAAATGCAATGTTTTGTAGTTTTCATTCACCAATATAGAATTAAAAATTAAACTAAAACCAAAATGAATTTACCATATTATGATTATTGGTAACCTTTAGATTTATTGAATTGCTTGTAATGTGATATCTATGTGCCAGGTATTATCATTTAAAATAAAATCTTAAGAATCTGACTTATGAAAAAGACCAACTCAAATTACCATGCAATATTTTTCCAGAAATGCAGAGTCCCTTTCCTGTATTTCATTAGGATGAAGATGTCTGAAACCACGCCCTTTATTTGGGGTATGGGGCGTGGGTAAGTAATATATAACAACTCTGGCATTAAGCATAGGAAACATAAATTTTATTTTTGGATTCTAGTATTGAAGCATAAGTCATAAGAATAAAAACATTAAGAAAGAAGTTTTGAGAAGTTTGTAAATGTTTAAGTAAATTTAGGATAGCTGTTTTGTTTGTTTATGAATTTGCTTTAAACCATTCTCTTACTACGTTTATGAGAAGATATGATAATAACAGTGATATCATATCTTAAATATCTTATGAGAAGATATTTAACGGTGCTCCCGTTAAACAAATGTGAGCAATTCTGAGGATTCCTTTAGGCCAGTGGTTTTCAACCTGAAAGCCTGGACAAGCTTCTGCCTCAACATTCACTGGAATTTGTTAGAAATGCAAATTATTGGACCCTGAATGTGAGTGGGGCTCAGAAATCTGGGTTTTAGCAAGTGTCCCAGGAGATTCTGTTACCTGATAAAGTCTGAGAACACTGCTTTAGGCAATTTCTTTTTCATGTGACATAAATAAAGAGAAGAAAAAAATAAAATAGTAGATTGTATTAACGTTTACTGTTTCTGTCCCAGAATATTCTGTTTTAAGACAAAATACTACCTTAAAAAACAAGATTTGAAAAGAAGAATAAAAGTGTAAGCACACTAAATTTATCATCTGAGTACCTCACTAATGTTTAGCATGGGATTTGAAAAACTAAATTGATTTCTTTAGAAGTAGTTATGAATTCTTGGCGTAAAATCATCACTGAGCTTGCTATTCAGAGTTGCGACGCTCTACATTTCTTGGCTTGCTGGTTTTAGCTGTCCCTGAAATTAGGCCTGAATCTCTGAATATTGACTGTAATTACTAATCTTGAGCTTGTCATTATATTTTCAGTAAATGGAGGTGTAAACACTTTCTGAAAACCACATCTGTGCTGAGAGCATTTTGGAGAAGGTTTTCCAAATGGCATTATCTCCCATCTTCCCAGGTGTTAGAAAAGAGATAAGCTTCAATTCAGCTTCTGAACAGAAACTTGGTCGGGTGGGCAGCAGGTGGGGTACTGGATAGATTTAAGAGGACTGGTACAGAGCTATCAAATAAACCAGTCCAGCTTTTGTGGACTACACACTTAGCATATTAGTGTTTTGGTTTTTCTCTATCTTTTTTTTTTTCTTCTGTAAGAGAATACTAACTAGATTAAGATTCTAGACCACTCTTGTTTAACTTAGGAGCAAAAAGGAGGAAAAAATTAAAAATAGTTCACAATGTGTTCCAAGTAAAAAGAAGAAAGAAGAAAAAAGAGTAAGAATAAAAAAAGAAGAAAGAGGAGTATAAAAGGTACCCCACTCCCTGAAATACTACTACGTTGGTATAACAGAGTATATTTAATACTAAAATATAATAATTACATTTAATTAATTTTAAGTTTGGCTTAGAAGATTACCATTATTTGATATTTGCACACTTACACTAAGGTACCATTACAGATGTATAGGGGAATACAGATGTATGGAGGAGGGGAGGTGAAGGCAAAACAATTATCTTACTATGCGTAAAATGGAATTTGTAGTTGTGATTAGTTATCCAGTTGCTTATTAGAGAGAAGACTACATATAAATGCAGTGGACAAATGTTACAAGATATTGAAGGGAAATGAATTATTGAGAATGTGAACATGCTTCTTTTATTAGTCAAAGCTGGATAATACTAAGG